GAGCATAAATTGTTGAAGGTTTTTTGCTTTTTAAACTCAAGCCAAAACTTGGAAAGTAGGCTTAGCTTGAGAGGTCTTGTGGGACCATACAATCCTTTACATGTTTTACCCAACAAAAACAAACCAAAACAAACAAAAAAAAAAGCATTTTTTTCTTTTTTTAAATCAGTTTTTTGTTTGTTTTTTGTTTTGTTTTTTTTTCTCATTGCTGATGTAGATTCAGCCTGGCTTTAGGAAGGACCTAAAGTTGTTTTAGGAAGGACCTAAAGTGCGTCTGAGTTAAGGGTCTAGTGGGAGAGGATGAAAAACAGTAATGGTAAAGCCGTTTCACATATAAGCTGAGCCCATTCGGTGTGGAAATCACTATGAAGCTGTAAACATGAAACCCCAAGTTCTGGTTTTGGAGCAGTGATTATGGCAGAACTACCTTTTCAATTGCAGAAGAGGACAATCCAGTGCTACAGAGCAAATTCCTATTACTTTGCTAAGGAGATGGGTTTCTTTGGGTAATTGTGGAGGCTTGGGCGGTTTGTGGGAGGATTGTTTTTTTTCAACTGCTTTGTTTATTCCTTTTCAGAATAGTACTTTCTATAGGCGAATAAGAATGTGACTGGGACCTCTGAAAGGGAGTTCTTATGAAAAGCGCATTAAAGTGAAGAGGAAAATCAGAAGGCAGTACACAATGGCTTAATGCTATCTACTTGTTTCTGGGAACAAAAGACATTTATTTTGAACCTGTCTTCTTTATTCATTTACTGGATGCTTCCTGCTAATGTAGCTCAGTAGTACTCCTGCTACAGATATTGTACCTATAAAACTTCTTCATGCTGAATTGGAGAGATGCACTTTGGTAATTTACAGTGAAAATTTATGTTGACTGGTTGAGAAAAAATAAAAGGATTCGGTGAAAACCAATATTAATAGAAATGTCTTTTATGTGGCACATGATTTCAGTTTTTTTTCCAGAAGCAGTTTATTAAAAGATTCAGCTATGTATGAAACAGATCTTTGTTGTGCTGGAATACATAGAACAAGGGAGCAAGAGCAGTGATAAAGCCTTTTGAATCTGATGCTAAGGATACAAGTAATATGATGGGAAGGTGAATGTTGTTCTTGTGCCTTTTGTGCAGAAGAGGGAGGGTAGTGGTGATATGCCAAGCAGGCCTGTTCATGTGAGGGCAGAGCTGTGAAGGGTACTGAGAGAAGAAATGAGTGCCAAGCTTTAGGGGAAGTGTTTGGCATAACTGCCTGACAGATTCAGGCTGATACAAACTCTGGCTACCTGTAGATTCAAGCCAGTAGAGTCTAGGCATGTTGCAGTGTTGTGACCATGAGAAGTGTGCTAGTTCATTACTAGTGTGGTTCAATATTCCAGATCACAGTTGTCTTTGTGCTTGGCTAGCCTGGGGTAGGGGTCATCTGGAAGAGTGTGTCACCATCTTGACTCATGCACCTGCACGTAGCCCAGGTGAAACCAATACTGAGGAAACTTTGCATTTACCCAGTGACATCCCTGGAATCCTAATCAGGGTACAGGAACTCAGATTCTTAGTTACAAATCTTACCTTAATTTTTATTATATTAGCCCCATCAGAAGACAAACCATCTTAGTGGATTTTTGCTGTGATATGGTGTCACTTTCCTTCCTGCTGAACATCTCAGGCCGTACATTGTAGTTTATGGATGTGAAAAGTGTTCCCTCTGAATCATCTCCCTACTATGTAATTCCTTCACTGATGTCTGGTGTTCTGCTGAACTGGAGTTCATTCGGAACAGCTCTGTACATATCATCATTTCCCCCAGAGCTCCTGCTTTAAACGAGCACACACCACCTACCAGACAGCTCTCTTCCTCTGCGTTCATCTCCTAAGGAGTTACTTGAAGTTTGGTCTGATTTTTCAGCCTGGTTTGTTTTGTCTGGTGCTTGCCATTCATTGTCTACTGAATTTTGGAAATTGGGCTATAGACTTGAGAGGAACAGCTATGTAGCATAAACGCCTCATCTCAAATACATTTTCAAGGACTTACCTTAGCAGTAATCCATCCTGCCTTCCCTTCCCCCCTCCACTTAAACTTGAGAAGGCAGCAACTGAAAATCATATTTTATATATATATATGTGTGTGTGTATATGAGAATGGAGCAAGGTAAAATGTAATTTCCTTTTTAATAAAGGCTGCCATTTAATTTAATATTATAGAAAATTATTAGATCTTAAAAAAAACTATAAATTACATTTGACAACTCTCTGATGCTCCTTTGCTGTTCCTTATGGCAATTATAAATGGCAACATAGGGTGCTGGCAGGGATGCTTATTCTGACTGGAGTTTGTTTATTGGCTCTTAATGAAAAGCGATTAATCTAAATCACTCCTGGGGTGGATCCTTCGCCCTGGCCCCATAATGAGAAGTGGTGGTTTCAGGCCTTTGACAAATGTCCTGCTACTTCCCCTGCCAAAAGTTTTCCCCTCCCTCAATAGCTTCCACCAGGAAAGAGGCACGCAATAATGATGATAAAAAGCCCAGGGTCTCCCATTCTTGCCATGTAACAAAACTGGATTGGTCCTAGCTGCATGACTGTTGGTGGCTCTTTGTTTTTGCATTCTGGTTGAGCCTCCTGTTTTCTTCCTTCCTACTTTGTAGGATCAGCCTTGTTTACAACGATGGATGACAGTAGGGATGTTGGTTGTGTTTATTTCTTCATTTGAAGAATGGAAAGTGGATATCAGAACTTGTGAAGGGGGGTGGGCTACTAATGTGATGGCACAGCAAGGTGTAAGAGTTGTTAGACTCTTCCAGCTTTCCCTCTAGCTTGTAATTTTCCTAGCTTGATGGTTTTATTATTTGATCTTGCAACCACTGTTACACTTCCAGAGGAACAAATTGCCTGGACTGTGAAACATCTGATGGAAACATCACCTGTTCCATCTTATCTGACCCATTTCTTGAGCTGTCTGCTGAAGTGCTGCAGATCATGTGTGAAAGGGCAAAGAGGATGTTTTGTGTGTGTACCACATCAGGTCTCTGCAACTGTTAGCTGTCTTGTGCTCCTTATCTGAAGGCAGAACACTAACAATGACCTTTTAATGTACAGCATTATTAGCTCTGTAACCCTCTGTGACATCAGGTGGAAAACTTTTTATTCCTGAAGTATCTTTCCTTTTAAATGTAAGATCTCTCTGGAATATCTTGTTATATTGGTAGTCTTACATCCTTTTTTTCCATTCTGCAGAATCAAGAAATTTTTACTAAGCTGTTACAGTTTTATGGCACAGGCAATATGCTTCAGATGAATGGGGGTATACTTGAGGGACAAAATGTCTTTTTGATGTCTAAGTTTCCAGTGACAGAAAAAAATATCTTGAAATACTGGGGAAACCTTTCTTTTCTGAAGCAAAACGAAACATGTCTTGATCTGATTAGAAAGAAGAAACTTACCAAAGCTTCCTTGTTGGTGGAGGCCATCGGGAGCTATTCTCAAGACTAATTCCCAGGGGGGCAGTAGCCTGTGGGGCTATTTCTCAATTCCCATGCTGTGCACCAGAGCACTTTTTCAGGAGTAATGGTGTGGCTTTCTGAGGCAACAAGTGGTTGCTGCTTTATGAGGCTGGTAGGCTGTGTATGTGAGGAACGTTGAAGGAGGTCTGAGCTCAAGCTGTGGATCTATACAGGTGGCTTCACCCTGGGACAACATTCAGTTCTAGTTTTAAAGGCCCTTTTCATTTCTTAATGGAAAGAATCAGAAACCATTTATCTTCTGTTCACTTCCCTTTGGTGACCTCATGGAGTTAATGAGGTGCTTAAGATTAAACAAGCGCTGAAATCTTTTTCTTGATTGAGGTCTAACATACTGAGGGTCTTACCAGTCCTTGTAACTGATTTTTGATGTCAAAATTAATGTGTTTCCCTATCGTAGTCTTGAAGTTAGAGCTCTGTGAAGTAGAATAAGAAAAATTATCATGGACATGTGAACACAAGAAAACTACAGTGGATATCAGCTAGATGATAATTCTGCAGCTAGCTAAAAAGACAGTCCCTGGATCTGTTTTCCTGCTGAAAAGCAGTTTCTATATTTGTTTCAGCTACTGTATCAATAACCTGCTGTGTTTAGCACAGATCTAATTTATTTCCCACTGTTTGCCTTTATTTTATGTTGCTGGCATTTACTTTAATGTGATGTCATTTTCTCCAGATGTTAATAACATGGTGTTAATGTTTCCACAACATTTTTCTTGATAACATTTATGTAGAGCAAGCCATCTGATAATGTGGAGTCAACGCATTTTAAAATATTGGTAATAATTTTCTAATTAAAATTGGAGGCTCAGAAGTGTTTTCCTGCCTGAACAAATTGAGGTCATACACTTTCCTGTGTTTGGGGAAAATTATATGTTCACTGAGTGAATGAGTATCTCCTACTGTATAAATTGGGAACATGATATATGAGACTGTGTATTAATGTTTATGCATGTGCACACAGACTATTTTCAGATGCCAGCAGCTGATCCAGGTAGGCATTCTATGTTTCCAGGGAGGGGATGCTCTCATTTGTAGTCTGTATGCTGCCAAATAATGAGCCTTAAATCTCAGGAGTGCCTTGTGTACTTTTGGAGACAGTATCCTGTGTTTGGGAAGAGAGGTGATAGACTGGAAAGGGACCAGGAAAGCCTGGTGTGGATGTCTGAAGTTTCTATATCCAACCAAAGTCAGCCTTGTTATCAATATAGCATTCTTTATTCTTGCTGGACTTGTTTTATCTGGATGAAAAATGAAGAAAAAAAACCAAATCACTGAATGAATCTATAAATAAATCCACCAAATAAAATGGAAGTGAAACACTAAAAAAACCCTCTGCCATTTGGGAAATCCTATGGGCTGTTTACACTGCTGAACAATGTTCTGAATACATCTAATAGGAATCAGTGCTGTGTAACCTCACTTTTAAATGCCATTCAGTTTTACGTTTCAATTAACACTCTTTTCCCTCCGTTTTTCCATTTAGATCATGCTTCTTAGTGATCCAGAGATTGAGAGCAGCATCCTCATCAGTTCTGATGAAGGGGCTACCTACCAGAAGTACCGCCTGAACTTCTATATCCAGAGCTTGCTTTTCCATCCCAAGCAGGAGGAGTGGATCTTAGCATACAGTCTGGATCAAAAGGTGAGCAATTGATTTCATATTTCAGTGATTCTAGAGATGTGCTGAAGGGGATAGTGTCTACAACTGCGCACTTCCAGAGATGGTGAAGAAATTATGGTGTGCTTTACTGCTGTCACCTTGCAAGTTTAAATGTGCTCAAAACCCACTCAGTGAATCCACAGCAAGCTTGGATCACAGTGATCATGATGGGGTATGGAAACTTAAGTAGCGGTCACAGTATGGATAAGATTTGACATGACATACGGAGCTAAATATCTATTGATCTGTAGGCCTTGGTGGTTGCTGAGCTGTCTTTAAGGACTGAGCACTCAGGCTGAGTTGGTCCATAGCAGCTGGCTGTTGTGTGTAAGGTAGTGCTCTTTCTGTTTGCAAACTGAACTCAGTTATCTGGAAATCAGTGAGCAGCAGCAGATGACAAACTGCCACTTTTTAAGTCACTTTTCAGTGCCTTCTGTTAGTGAGGCAATTCTTAAGCCTGCTACTTTGTCTTCTTTCATAGTGCTCATCTGTCTTGAAAGATGCTGAGCAATGCAGGTGCAGTGTGACTGGTAACATGCAGTTGTAGAATATGTGCTTCAGTTCCAGAGCAACAGTCCCCACTGCAGCCCAAAGCTGAGACACAGGCCAGATGATCAAGTCACAAATTTTAGAAAGCTTAAAACTTGCCAAGCTTTTATTTTTCCTCTCATTTCTGTCATCCATAGACTCAGGAAAGTAAAAACATGCTGAATAGCCACTCTTTAAGTTTTTTGCATTGTGGTGTGTTGATTCTGTCTGGACAGCAGGTGCCCACCAAAGCTGTTCTCTCACTCCCTCTCCTCAAATGAACAGGGGAAAAGAAATACCATGAAAGGCTGGTGGGTCAAGATAAGGACAGGGAGATCACTCAGCAAAATGGCTGAGGTTTTTTGTCGTGGCAAACCAGACTCAATTTGGGGAAATCAACTTAATTTATTACCCACCAAATCACAGTCGGGTAATGAGAAATAGAAAACAAATCTTAAAATCATCTTCCACCCACACCTCCCTTCTTACCCAGGTTCAACTTCACTCCTTAATTCTCTAACCTCCTCTCCCTGAGTGAGGTAGGGAGATGGGGAATATGGACTGTGATCAGTTCATCACATACTGCTTCTGCCACTACTTCCTTCTCAGGGAGAGGACTCCTCACACTCTTGCCCTGCTCCAGCATAGGGTTCTCCATGAATTTCTTCAACACGAGTCCTTCCCACAGGCTGCAGTTCTTCATGAACTGCTCCAGCTTGGGACCCTTCCATGGGATGCAACCCTTCAGGAACAGACTGATCCAGTGTGGGTCTTCTGTGGGGTCACAGCTCCTGTCAGCAAACCTGCTCCAACATGGGTCTTCTGTGGGGTCACAGCTCCTGCCAGCAAACCTGCTCCAACATGGGCTTCTCTCTCTGCGGGACCACAGGTCCTGCCGGAAGTCTGCTCCAGTGCAGGCTTCCTAAGGGGTCACACCCTGCTTTGGGCATCTCCTGCTCCAGCATGGGGTCCTCCATTGGTTGCACGTGGGTATCTGCTCCACTGTGGACCTCCATGGGCTGCAGGGGCACAGCTTGACTCACGATGGGCTGCACCATGGGCTGTAAGGGAATCTCTGTTCTGGCACTGGAGGGCCTCCTTCCCCATCTTTTTTACTGATGTTGGGATCTGCAGAGCTGTTGCTGTCACATATTCTCACTCTTTTCTCCATCTTCATTTGCACGGTTTTGTTTCACTTGCCCCCCCCCCACCTTCTTAAATGTTATCCCAGAGGCACTACTGCTGCTGCTGATGTGCTCAGCCTTGTCCAGTGGTGGGTCTGTCTTGGAGCTGGCATTGTCTCTGTTGGACATCAGGGAAGCTTCTAGTAGCTTCTCACAGAAGCCACCCCTGTTGCCCTAGCTGCTACCCTAACCTTGCCCTGCAAACCCAATGCATGCATTAATCTCTCAAATGTGTGTGTTTTGTGGGTGGGAATTGAAGTTTTCTAAACTAGTCAATCTCACATCCCAGCTATAAGGACAATACACCTAGAATATCGTGCCTCTTGTATTTGATAGAATTTCCTTTGAAAGGCTAGTGAAAGTCTTTACCCAAGTAGTTACTGAGAGTATAATCAAATAATCTCCTACTGTGGTAATTCCCAATGCAACCTTTCCATCTATTTGTTACCAGAATGCTATGGCAGGCATCAGGTAGTTTGCTGCTAAGCTACTGATGATGCTTGAGTGACATTTGCAAGCACAAACCTATTGAAAATGCACTCCTTTCATAGTATCAAATCCTTACTGTATGAAGGAGTTAGTCAAATGTTAAACAGTTTTGTGCGCTCAAATATACAGTGTATCAGCCTTGAAGTAGGCTAGAAAGACCAATTTATTCATTTGATGTCATGGAATGGTTTGATGCTATTTTCAAACTTGAGGTAAAGATTTTAAATGGTACTGGTATTTGTAAAAAGACAGCCCTGAAAGAAACAGACATCTGATGAGGTGCTCATGGATATGAGAATCCAAAAACGACATGCGGAGTATGCATTTGTAAAGAGATTGAACTGTAGTGATTTCAGGGCACCTGCTTCTGGGCTGAAACACTGTACTTGTGTTTCCAGTGATTTGTAGTCTTTTTATGACATGTTAGCCACGGAAAGGAAAAATCAAAATACAAAATATGTGCTCCCACTTGACTGTGAGGTTGTAATAATGCTCCCCTGGTCCAGGACAACAGTAATGGCTCAGGAGCATTTTTGCTTCCGCTTCTTCAAACTAATGCATCTGTGTGCCCACCTCAACTGTTCTCTTTTGGTTAGAAAAGAGACAACAAAAAATAAACTGAGTTAGAAACACTTTGAGGATTCTTTTATCCCAGGAACTGAAAATTTGTCAAAAGTGTAATAGCAAAGATGAGGTGCCCTGCAGGTTGTTGGCCAAATAGAAGTGGAGAAATGCAAAGTTCAGGCTTTGGGTTTATGTCTGCCTTTGCATTCAGGGCCACTTATGCTGCTTTTCTTCAGTGTTCAGAAAGATAGTCTCAAGTGCTGGTTGCAAGTTGGTCCTTGAGAGCCATGGAGGCAGTGCTTTTCCCTGTTGAAGTGTTTCCTTGGCAGAACCCAGGTATATAGATTGTGCTCAATGACATCTTGGCTTAGAGCTGTAAGAGAATTGTCACTCTGGCTCAGGATCATGCAGCTTCACTGCAGTTACAGCTGACACTGAGATAATGGGCAGTGCTGTTAGAATGAAAAGGCAATGCTATGGGCTGTGACAGAGGTGCTATGTGAAGTCCCCGTATGAAGTCTTCTAAGAGACCAGTGTAATGCATTCCTCTTTGTCTGGAAACAGGAGTACTGCTACAGCTGCATGGGAATCAGCAGTCAGCCATGACCTTCTGTTAGATAGGAATTAGGCCAATGACAAGAAGGAAATACCTTTTATGCTAAAAATCCTAAATCCTTAACTAGCTTCATCAGGTCTTATCCATCTTCGTAAGATTGTTGTGGTTGTTCTCCTCTCTTTTCCTCTAGAAGCCAGATCTGGATCTTATGCCTTCCCACATTGCTATGCCATGCCCTATCTCCTAGCTGTGATTATGGGATTGTGACTTGATCATTTGCTCTCTCTCTGCTGCTGCTCAGAAGATGGAAATCAAGTGCTCTTAAAATAAGTGGATGGAGAGGCTGCAGTAGTGCTCTGCAGTTGTGAAAAGGGTATCCAAAGAGGTGCCATGCTGTTGTCAGGGGCTAATTCTCCAACTGCATCCTAGTCCTGCTGGTACTCCACTTGGGTTTTGTGCCTATTTTCCTGGGAAGTCACATGGCACAAAAGAGGTGGTGTTGGATCAAGCAGTGTTTGCTTTCTCACTTCATGTATCCAGGTTTTTGAGATACAACTGCTCCAAACCACTTTGGATTTAATGCATGAAAGGACAACAAAATAGAAAGCTCATCATTAGTCTGTAACCTGTAGTTAATGTTAATCCACAGATACTGTGACAAGGAAGGTGCTTATGAAAGTCATGTTGTATGTTTGCTGTATATTCAGTGGTACAGCCACTTCTACAGTGGGAGACCACAAGCTTCCACCTCTCTAAGATTTAAAAGTGTATTAGACCTTTAAAGTCTGTACTGACTACTTCAGAGGCTGATTTTAAAATGTAAATAACTCTGAAAACAAATTCAGTGCATAGGGTTTGACCCCCAGGAGTAGGAACTGCTAGGGGCAGATATACCTCATCCTATCATAACTGTGAATGTATAAAAAAGTTTTCAAATTTAATTTCATTTCTTAGATTGCAAAATAGCTTCCAGGTTAGTATCTATTTTATTAATTTTCTTTCAGTTAAGAATAATAACGTGGTATTGTAAGGAAGTTGTGGTCAACTTGGAAATAATAAGAATGATGAATCTGAATATCCATTTTGCCGAGTATGTTGTTCCATACAGTAAAATGATATATCAGCAGCTAGTGCCTTACCAGTGTTTGATTTGGGCACTGCGTAGATCAAAATTCAAATTGTTTTGTGTATAAAACCAGAAAACAATATTAAAGATTTTGTGTGAAATCAGAATAGTGTTTGGATCTTGCTAGAAAGTTTTCCTCTGAGGTCTTCTGAACTACAGTTCCATGACTATGATTCAAGCCTCTTTTTTAATTATTGTTTTATCTCAAGAATCTCCAGATTTTAGCTAACTTCTACACATTTGACAACAGTATTAAGCTACTTATCCAGTTAATTAATAAAACAACCAACCCACTAAAAAAAACCCAAACCATTTTGAATTCTGTCACAGGATTTATGTCCCTTTGAAACTGGTGTTTTAGAAGGTGTATTCACTATTCTAAGACAGGAGTGAAAAAATAGAATAATGTAGAACTATGAAACCCTTGTGGAACCACAGTCTTTACTTGTCCCCTGCAGTTTGTCAATGGCCAAGTTATAGCTGGTTTCAGAATATGGTATCCCAGTTATTTTTTTACCCAGCTAATAGTGACTTG